TTATCTATTACTTTTCGGGGATTTTTTTTATAAATACTCTTACCCCTCCTACGAGTTGTGCGGCAGCTTCTCACTGCACTATGGGTAAAAAGCCCGAATCTTTGGCATTTAAGTAATTTTTATACCCGGTACTCAAAGAGTAAATAGGGTATATTGTATTTGTGCGAATAACGGTTGTATGTACGGCACAGAAGGAAGCGTTTCCGACCCCATAAAGTATATATATATTCTTGATCAGCATCAATCGCCGAGTCGATATCTCCATGTCTGTCTGTCTGTCCGTCTGTCCGTCTTGTTTGTCGGCTCGTTCTCAGAGACTATAAGAGCTAGAGCCACCAAATTTTGGCTCCGGACTGCTGTATGCTCACACTGAAACCAGTGTATTTAAAAAATGAGTCACGCCCCTTTCCACCCCCGCAAAAGGGCGAAAACCTCCCAAATCTACAGTTTTGAAGATAAAAGAAAACTAAAAACGCCATTCCGTAGGAAATGGCCATATCTATCAGATCACCAAATTGGGATCCGATCGGATCATCGGAGCCCCTGCCTCTGTCCTCCCCCTGGCTATCACTCTTCCGACTTTTACCCAAGACTCGGTTTTTAACGCTCTGTATTAGAAAAAGAGTGACCATCAAAGTTGCGTACAAGAAATTTTGCTGTGAAACCTATCGGTCATTATTTCACAGAATGTGCAGACCATTGGACCATCAAAGTTGCGTACAAGAAATTTTCATAGATGAAATTTTCGCCGCTTTCGAAAAATTTGCTGTGAAACCTATCGGTCCAAGAATGTACCAATTTTATTGCTGTTTTAAATATCTCATAAATTGGAAAATATTAACTGATCCAATTTGTTTGATGCACTTTATTTAGTAGGCTTTTACTACGTGTTCTGCAATGTGAACGATATCTAGTGGTTGGCGATGTCTTCTACATCTAGATGTAGTACTGAGTGCCGGGTATAAAAGTTGTGACGCGTAAAAAGCGTCTCACACGTCCCTTCTCGTTTTGGGTAAATTTGAATGCGACTGAAGTTTTCTGATTCCTAAATATCCAGATAGAACAAATCTGGTTTTAGAAGATTTTTACCTAGTACCATATGTTTTTGCACGCTTTCAAAGTCGGCAGATTTTGATTTTGATTTTGCTTTGACTTGTGAAAAAGTGAGGGAAATATTGAGCATTTTGCAGCATTAATTGTAGCTCTATTTCAAAGTTTAAATAAAAGTAAAAATATGGAAGTAAAATATTGGTGTTAATGCTTGTTGCCCGTCTTTGCCCCTTTTCGAAAAATTTTAAATTTTGCAGATGCTTATGAGCTCACTCATGCAGCGCTGCTGGACGTCTGGACCAACACCAATCGTGAAGCAGACGCAATAAAATTTTATTATTTAAAGAGTATTGACAAAAACTGACTAACTAAAGATGAAACTATTATAATTCAAATAAAAATTATCCAATTTATTGCTTAGTTAAACAAGTACTAAGCGAAATTCAATTGTACGTTGGAGCGATTCCCCTCAAATTGCTTTTAACCAAACAATCATTCAATTAGTCAATCAAATATATTTTTTTTTATGTTATAAAATGTTTTAAAGTATGTTTTATCATTATTAATCTTTTGAATACCTTTTTTATAATAAATACGACGTAAATGGGATCCAGTTCGTATGGGGGCGGGAGGTAGGCGGGGTCCAAATAACTACATATTTTTTCCAAAATTCTACTTTAGTCTAACGGACATTCATTTGTAGAGCTCTAGCTATATTTTTTTTATGAATGCCAAAAAAACGGCGTTTTTACCCATAGTGCACTGTTTGCTCTGTTATATGAAAATCTGGATAAATAAATTTAACCACACTTTAAATTAATTTTAATACTTCAATTACATTTAATATTCAATATAATGAATGCATACAATTTAATTCAAAAATGTTCTATATACAAGAAGAAGAATAAAAATATAATACATATATAAAATGTTGATTAACAATTAACTAGCCTAAGGAATATATACATACATATCCATATACAAGATTTATCTAATTTGTATATACAGTTTAACACAGTTTTAAGCATCACTCTCTCGTTCATTGATCCGCATCGAGCAGGCCCTCCTGCTCGAACTTGGGCAGAAGCTGTCGCATTATCCGCTGACTAGCAGGATTGCCATAGCAGGCATTCTTGAAGTTGATCGCCCGCTGATTGCTCTGCATCAAGGCATTGAAATCGGCATCGGCAGTCTCCACATTCCGCTGAATGGGAAAGATGGCGATGGTGGTGTGCATGCCTAAGAGTCAGAGAGAGCGGAAACCATAAAGTTATTCCAGAAATGAAGTCAGGAAGGATCGTGCTCTACTCACCATAGAAAGCCTTTTGTTGTATCTGCTGATGAAACTGATGCATGCTGGGTATGGCAGCTCTGAAACGGAGCTTCCTCAGTGTATCCGAGAAGATGTTGAAGTAGTAGTGGATCAGCTCCTCCTGGTTGTTCAGATGCAGATCAAACTCCAGCGAGGAGTTCAGGAAGTAGAAAAGATCAATAGCTGGCGAGCCCCAGGCGGCATATTGGAAGTCAATGATGATCACATTCTCCGCTTCGCCAGTCTCCTTGTCATACTTGACCAGGACATTGTTGGTCCACAGATCGCCGTGGGCGAGGACATTGATCTGGCCGGGACACACATCGAAGACGCGTTTGCCCAGCTCCATGTAGACGGGCAGCAAAGCCTCCAGTTTCCCGGCATACCATTCATATCCTGGCCACTGAGCCACCCGACGACTGGCAGCCTGCAGCATGCCCAGAAAGCAGGGCGCATAGTTATCCGTATGACGGTTAAACATGCCCCGATCATAGCTTTCCAAGGCACGATCCTCGCGCTCGTTCAGCACCGCCGATGTGGCATGCATCTTGGCCAACTTCCGTAGGACAAGACGCGCCAGCTTCAGATCGAGTCCGGTGAGCCGATCGGGCATCACAAATTCCCGCGCACTGAGATCCTCGAAGATCAGCACCGAACGATCGTAGTCCACGGTCATGGTCTCGGCAAAGATCTCCTCCCCATCTTCGATCTCGTGGAGCAGGGCCTTCAACTTGGGCAGAACCTCCTCGTAGATGTTCATCTCGCGATTGAAGATGTCGTACGGCTCCATGGCATTCCGGGCAAACTCGTCGCTCTCGAAGGTGGACTTTACAATGTAGTGACCGACCTGGCAGGTGCCATCGCGTCTTGTGAACTGCGCCTTCACACGAGTCAACACTCCGCCATAGTTTTCCCCCTTTCCCAGGGCGGGATGCACCTGCAGGCAGGTAATCTTGATCCGCTGATCGCCATAAAAGTCTCTCAGCGCATCCTGCATGTAGGTCTCAGTCAGCCAGTCGGGGGCATCCATGAAAACCGAGTTGGAGTTGGAAGCTGCGGAGGCTGCTGCTGCACTAAGCTTGGGAATGGCATCGAGTGCCCCGATCAGATCCGAAACCGACATGATGACAAATGATTTTTCTCTGCGATCTGGTGCTTGAAAATCGGAGCACCTCAGCTTTTATATGAAAAAACTGTAGCTGTTCCCACGTACATTCGTCACAATTGTGATTTACAAGGCCTCATAAAATCACAGACGTATGTAAATATAGACGCGGGCTTACAGATTACTCTTTTTATTGGGGCATAACCATAACCACACCCGCAACCCGAACCAGCAAGCCCATATGCCTTGGAAGTTGTCTCGTGGCTGGGAGTCTCGTCTCACGCCGCGGCTTGGCTACTGCCTAATCGGACAAATTGTTTGAGTTTCGGTCGCTGGCAAACCTGTTAATCTATATAGCTCTTGGTGTGGGCTTAGGGATGGACGACGGGGACGACGACCACGACAAGTGTTTTATGCCAGAGCTCAGAAATGCCAGACATTTTCTTGACTCAAAATCATCTCTTGAAAGAGTGAACAATCTACGTCAAAGACTGAGGGATACGGTGAAAGAAGACTATAGAGAAATTAAAGGATGAATGAGAAATGCAGAAATGTTTCAGGGAATACACATAGAAAGGGATATTTTATGTTTCTTTTTTTTAAGATTTATCTTAAGGACTCTAATAAAATGTGCCATGTTTATTTGCTGTTTTGAGTACTGAATAGAATCAATATAAACTTGCAGAAATATTTATTTTGTTATTTATTTATAGGCACATTAATTAGCCGCTTCAAATGGTCAATGTAATCAACAAGAAATCCTTCAGGTTTCCATGCATAAAATCTTAGGAATTTAATTTTAAAAAAAGTTGTAAAATGAACATTAGTTAGAGCTTAGTTCAGCTTTTTTAATTTCGTTTTTAAAATTATATAAAAAAGGTATAAATTCTCCGGATTCACGCATTAATTAAACGAAATCCTTCAGAGATCTAGTCAAATATTTAAGCACTTGCTAACTGAGTCTGCGCAAACAATCCTAAAGATGCATTGCCATCATTAAGGGGTCTAAATTGTTTGCATAAGCAGATGAGCGACTGTCGATGGGAATATTATTGCCATGAATGGGGTGCTGCGTGATACACCGAGCAACAAAGCACAGAAAATAAAATGTATATATTAATGAAGCCAGCCCTACTTTGGCTGCTTTTGGTTTGCAAAAGAAATGGTAATTTTCCTCCACTTTTAGCTATTTAATCAGTCAAAAAGAACTGTTCCCAGCCATATATAAAATACATTTATCTCAAGACCTGAGGCGAGTGAGAGCTTGGCACACGTTACGCATTTCTGGCATTTCTGGTGGCCTGTTGCCAAACGGATCTCCAGAGAGCGAGTAATCCCACACAAATGTTTGCCGACGGCATAAAGTCGTATTACGCTTTCATCACAAATCTAGGAGAAGCGGAATACAATTTAAGAAACAAATACGAGAGACAGTTACGAGAGGCTCGTTTCAGTCACAGTCTCAGTTTCAGTATCATTTTCACCTTGACAAAGGTATTGCCTGTGGCGGATATAAAAGCAGACGAGTGCGCTTCGGTGAGCATTCATTCACTCGGAGATTGGACAAAATGGCAGGCGCACCAGAGTGGCTGACCCACGACTACCTAGAGCATGCTCTGCGCTCCTACTACAAAGATGATCAGCTAAAGATTGTCCAGCTGCAAATAAATCCCGCCCTGGGTCCTGGGGAAAACTATGGCGGTGTTCTGACCAGAGCCCGCATACAGTTTACGCTCTCTAAGAGTCCAGCGGAGGAGCAGCTGCAGAACCTCATTGTGAAGACGGCCATCGACGACGATGAGTTTAGCCAGGAGCTACAGGCGCCCTATGACATCTTCAATCGAGAGATGAACATCTACGAGAATGTGCTACCCAAGCTAAACGATCTTCTCCAGGAAATGGGCGACACTGAGCCTCTCTTTCCCACCGCCATCTATGTGGATCGCGAGCGTACGGCGATCCTCTTTGAGGATCTCTCTGTGGCTGGGTATGTGATGGCCGATCGTGTGCGACTCCTGAACGTGGAGCATACGCATCTCATACTGCGCAAGCTGGCCAAGATGCATGCCACCTCGGCGGTGCTGAACGAGCGTCAGTCCGGCTGCCTGGAGAGCTACGATCGTGGCTTCTTCAATCGTTATACGAACGGCTATAGCGGCTACTTTGTGGGTGGCCTTCTGGCCGCAGCCCGCTGGATGAGTCAGGTGCCAAAGCTGGCTGATTATGGTCAGAAGCTCTTTGAGCTGGCGCCTCACTACATGGACATTGGCAGAAAGTGCTTTACCCCCACGCCGGGACATGTAAATGTGCTCGCCCACGGCGATGTGTGGACCAACAATGTTATGTTCAAGTATGATCCCTCCACGGGTCGTCCCCTGGATGTTCTGCTCATCGATTTCCAGTACTCCTTCTGGGGCTCGCCCTGCATCGATCTGCATCATCTGTTCAACACGTCGCTGAAGGAGCCACTGCGCCGCGACCAGCAGAGCGGTCTCTTCCAGTTCTATCACAACATCTTCACCGACACCCTGCAGAAGCTCCACTACAGCCAGAATCCCATACCCAATCTTCACGATTTCAAGCTGCAAACCGAACAGAAACGTTTCTTTGGTGAGTTGTTCTCCCTGGTGGATCTCTAGATCTTTACTGATGCTATTTCTTTGTCTTCCTTAAGCTATGCACTCCACAGTGGTTGTGCAGCCAGTGATGATCAGCACGGATCCCACAGATGCCTGCTTCAATGCTCTGATGAACGATGATGAGCGTGGCATTCGCTTCAAGAATCGCCTCTACCACAATCCCAAAGTGCAGGACAACTTGAAGGCTATGGTGCCATTCTTTGATAGGAAAGGACTGCTGGATGTGGATCAGTGCTGTTAGGCACAGCTGCTTACTGTGCTACTCCTTTCCAACTTCTTTTAGATTATTAGATCTGTAAATAAAATAAAATACTAAAATAATATGTTATTTTAATATCCTTTTCGGAGTGGTTATTTCAAAAGTGATCAGAAATTTGTTTAAGAATTCTAATATATACAATATAATATCCTAGATATTTCTTTGCTCTTGCTCATGGTATTCTTTCATGAAAAAGTCTGCTACACATATATGTACTTACATGTATCCATTAATGAATCTCATTTAATGTAAAAGATTGGTGATTAAACCAAGTACTTGCGTGGAAGTCCCTGTTTTCTGAGATTATTTTACCTATAAACTATTATTTCGCATTTGCTTAAGACAATTCAATATCGAACACAATTTATTTATATTTTTCTCCATAACACTTTTTCTTTATGGAGTGCAAACATTAAACAAATTGTGTAAATTAAGATCCCCTTAAAATTCCTGGAAATAGTAATTTTAAAATTGTTATTTTAAAATTGTTACCCATAAATATTAGTAACGAGAAGGGACGTGTGAGACGCTTCTTACGCGTCACAACTTTTATACCCGACACTCAGGACTACATCTAGACGTAGAATACATCGCCAACCACTAGATATCGTTCACATTGCAGAACACGTAGTAAAAGCCTACTAAATAAAGTGCATCAAACAAATTGGATCAGTTAATATTTTCCAATTTATGAGATATTTAAAACAGCAATAAAATTGGTACATTCTTGGACCGATAGGTTTCACAGCAAATTTTTCGAAAGCGGCGAAAATTTCATCTATGAAAATTTCTTGTACGCAACTTTGATGGTCCAATGGTCTGCACATTCTGTGAAATAATGACCGATAGGTTTCACAGCAAAATTTCTTGTACGCAACTTTGATGGTCACTCTTTTTCTAATACAGAGCGTTAAAAACCGAGTCTTGGGTAAAAGTCGGAAGAGGATTAGCCAGGGGGAGGGCAGAGGCAGGGGTCGAGTGAAGCAGAAGCAGAGTGTGAATGAGAGAATGTAAAAAGAGCAACAAAAGCTGCGGGACAGGGTGGGTTTAGCCACTGGAAATTAATTTCTCCACTGTGGCTATAATAATAATCCGATCGGATCCCAATTTGGTGATCTGATAGATATGGCCATTTCCTACGGAATGGCGTTTTTAGTTTTCTTTTATCTTCAAAACTCTAGATTTGGGAGGTTTTCGCACTTTTGCGGGGGCGGAAGGAGGCGTGGCTCATTTTTAAAATACACTGGTTTCAGTGTGAGCATATAGCAGTCTGGATGCAAAATTTGGTGGCTCTAGTCTCTTATAGTCTCTGAGAACTAGCCGACAAACAAGACGGACAGACGGACAGACAGACAGACAGACATGGCTCTATCGACTCGGCTATTGATGCTGATCAAGAATATATATAAGTTAACACATAAGCAATAACATGGGTCACCCTAACTTAGCGCACAAGAAATGTGAAATATCATGTGCCGCCCTAACTTATCCAGTCCGATACGGAGGGCGCCGATGCAGTAGATGCCGTTGCAGCGGGCGGCTCTGTTATCTGATTGGGCGCCAGCGATCGCATGATCTTGTTTACGCGTAGGCGGCTCTTATCTCTTGTGAGCGCGGACGGCTCGCCGGCTAGGTTTCGGTGTAGGTTTAGAAGTAAGTTTAGTTTAGAATTGGACGAATAAATGAACGGAGCGTTCACATAAACTCCGACACGAGTGGTAAAACGTGCATTGATATAATCATATTGTTGAGCCTTAAGGGCCAACGAAATAGAGGGTAATTACCCTCTCAACATAATCTTCGGTAGAAGACTCAGTTGCCAACCGCAACCACCGTCCCCCGCTACAAGAGCGGGCCACGGGAACCCGATCGCTGCCGCCGGAGCCAACGCAACGCATACCGCAGCTCGGTCCAAAAACGACATAAAGTTAATTTATATACTTTATGGGGTCGGAAACGCTTCCTTCTGTGCGGTACATTCAACCGTTATTCGCACAAATACAATATACCCTATTTACTCTTTGAGTACCGGGTATAAAAATATATAAATTCGCTTCGAGTCATGCAGCAGCGCTCTTTGGTCGAAGCTTTGCCTGGAATCCGCTCGGATTCCAAGCTTTGGCTTGGTGTAATCGTTGCACATCTCAGTCTAACTATATATCTGTTGCTGATAAGAATAATAAGCAAAGAGCAGTCACACACTTCAATCAATCACAGTAAATCATCCATGGTCTTTATAGATTAGCGATATTTGTTTAACAGATGAAACAGCGTACACACGGCACGAGATGAACAAGTGCGAACTACAGATATTCTCGTAATCTATAAACATATATAACAAAGGCTTTGCATAACAAATAGCAAGATGGATTTATGGGTTGTGAAGCAGATAAATTTGTCGCTGGAGGCGAGGGTGATCTTTAAACGCTACGTCAGTGTTTCGTGGAGATGATTTACGGCAGTGGCACACTTACATCACATTGCGAAAATTAGTATATAGAACGAACATAGTACTCAACCCGAATGTCTGTGTACATGTACTCGCTTGAGGGAGAATCGCTTAAGCGATTCCTTTATCTATTCAGCTTTAGATAGATCTGGAAGACTGTAAGACCCTGTACGTATCGCACGGAAGGTGCTACGTAATGGTCTGAGTCGGCTTGCTTTACAGCCATACCATAATGTGGGATCTGTCGCAGAATGAGATTGTGTTCACCGACACTGGCTGACTATAAAATGGGCGCATTTTCACCTCAACAACGATTCAGATTCAAACGTCAAAGCGAGCATCATGGTTGTCCAGAAAGAGGAGATCAAGGGGGAGGCAGCGGCCGACTTTCATCCCGCACCCGTGTGGCTGAACGAGTCCTATCTGGAGTCATTGCTGCAGAGCAAGAAGAACGATGCGGGTCTGAGGGTCACCGGGCTGGACATCAAGCCAGCCACATCCAAGGGGGAGAACTATGCCAGTATCATGACCCGAGTAAAAGTGTCCTACGTCAAGAGCGGTGCCAAGAATCCCGAGAAAGGCTCCTACATTGTGAAGACAACCTACGAGAATGATCCGTTTATATCGAACATCTTTTCTGGCTACCAGGCCAGCACCACGGAGATGCTGATGTACGAGAAGATTCTGCCCAAGTTGAGCGCTCTCATTGATGGTACACAGCAGCCCGAGAAACTGTTCGCCAAGACCCTGCACGTGGACTACGAGCACGATGCCATCATCTTCGAGGATCTGGCTGTGACCAATCATGTTCTGGCCGATCGCCTGGCGGGCTTTGACCTGGAACACACGCACATGGCTCTCCGCAAGCTGGCCAAGATGCATGCCGCCGCCGCTGTGCTCAATGAACGCCAGCCGGGAGTCCTCACAAAGCTGGACCATGGCATCTTCAATCGTCACACGGAGGGCTTTGGCCCTTTCTTTCAGAATATGATGGGAGAGGGGGCAGAGTTCGCCGACACGTGCCCGGAGCTGGGCAGCTACTATGGCGACAAGCTGAGGGCCTTGGTCAAGCGGGTGATGGAGTACTCCACGCGGGTGTATGACCCACAGCCAGATGAGTTCAACACCCTGGTGCACGGCGACTATTGGGTCAACAATGTGATGCTGCGCTACAGCGAGAAGAAGGAGCCCTTGGACATGATCCTCATCGATTTTCAATTCTCCAGCTGGTCCTCGCCGGCCGTCGATCTGCACTACTTCTTCAATACATCCTTGCAAAAGAACATCCGCTTCCATCAGCAGGATGCGTTGATTCAGTTCTATCATAAGGTGCTTGTGGACACGCTGAAGGATCTCAAATACGGTGGCTATATACCCTCGCTCCGGCAGCTTGTACTGCAACTGGAAAAGGGTAAATTTATGGGTGAGTTTGAGTCTGCATAAAGATATACTTTTGCTAAGAGAACTCTTTTTCGAACAGCCGTCATCGTGTCTTTGGCTTGCAATGGCATCATGCTAAATGATCAGACAGCGGATGCGGATTTCCTTTCACTGATCCAGGACGATGAGCGAGGACGCAACTTCCGGCGGTTGGTCTACAGCAACAAGAAGTTCCAGGAGTTTGTGAAACATTTTCTACCCCTCTTCGATCGCAGCGGTCTGCTGGACGTCACCGACTGAGAACCACAGAGACTGTATTGTAAATCAAATAAAAATATCCCCCCATCTAGTGTGTGTGTGCTTGTATTGCCCAGACAGCTATTAACTATCTTTAGTAGCTGCGCGGTTTCTATTTCACAATGAACTTAAGTGCCTGTAAGTGTTATCTGTTAGACTTTATTCAATGTTTGCCTTTCAATGTTTGACAAGCGCTCAACGCTTTCTGAATTGCTCTCCCCACCATGAGGACCTAGCCCTGCCTCTATCCCTGCACAGGTCAGTTCTTGGTTGTTTATGGTGAAATTGGCATTCCATTTATGTTTTTACGTTATTTCCATAAATGTAAATTTAATCACATTTCATCCAACAGTCCCTGCTGATCCAGAAATGGAAGTGTTTGGTGCAATTTCTTTCTGACGGACTCCACCTGAAAGACACTGTCCTTGAAGCGCATGGCGCTTTCGGACTCTGACAGTACCTGCTCCATGGATGACTCCTCCTTGCCCTCATACAGCATCACTGGCTCAAAGAGCAGTGTACAGAAAACAGCTGCAGAACGAGAAATCAAAATAAAATCAATCCTTAGCTGGAATGACATTGCACTCACCATAGAAGGCTCTTGCCTTGAACTGTAACTGAAAGTCAAACAGCGATGGTATGTGGCCAGCATACTTGACCTTCTTTAGGGCCGCCACCAGCTTGTAGTAGTAGAACTGCACCAGTTCTGTTTGAAGGTGCAGTCGGAGATCATCGTGCACTGAGGTGGAGAAGAAGTAATGCAGATCGATGGCCGGAGAGTTCCACACACTGAACTGAAAGTCAATAAAGATCATGTTGCTCGGATGTCCCTTGGCGTCATATTGGAACATGAAGTTTGTGGTCCAGGGATCGCCATGGGCCAAAGTTACAAAGTCTCCCGGCCTGATGGTCGTT